TTTTTCTTATATAAAAGGAAAAGACAGAGTATAATGCCAGAAGTGTTAATTCAGGTATTTCTGGAAAAGGTGTGTTTTAAGTCGTCTTTTGAAGACATTCAGTGACTTAGCTGTTCGGACATCTAGGGGGAGTTCATTCCACCAACTTGGTGCCAGAGAAGAAGAGCCGAGAGGTGTGTCTTCCTTGTGCCTTGAGGGGTGGTGGGACCAGTCGAGCAGTGCTGGAGGATCGGAGAGATCGTGGTGCAGTGCGGGGTGTGATGAGGTCTGTTACTGTCAGGTGTCCCAACCCCAAGGTCACATAAAAATGGGGCAGGAAGAAAACATTAAATGTATTTCCCTTAAAGTTTAGCTACAAAGAGTGCTCTGGGTATCAGCTCAATAAAATGTCACACAAACAGACATTACCAAACTACCAGTAAAAACTTATTGCTTCTGGGGTCTGTGACTTCCATCTCCCCACCTGGCAACCACAAGCTCTTTCTTTTCTAATTGGTTGAAAATGTAACTGCAGAATTCATTAGTTTGCATTGTTAATATCATCTTCAAAAATTTGAGCTACTTTGTTCTTCTGTTTTTCAGCTGGCAGGCTGGTGAAACACAAAACACATCTGATTCAGAAAATAATTCTGGAAAAATAAAAAATATAGAAATGAGAAAAAAAACTTTCTGAAGACATGGAGAGGAAAATACTTTAGTTATCTAATCATATCACACAGCTGCTTCCTGTCCAGATTATCCTGGGATATTTTAATGAATAGATTTATTTAAATAAATCAGATAATATTGTTAAATCTAAGGCAAATGGATGAGTGACACAGTAAACAATAAGTGGCATTGTTTCCTGGTCTCCAGGGATGTCGGTTTGAATCCCACCTCAGCTTGGTCTGTGACATTCTCCTGCATGGCTTTCCTCTAGCGTCCTAAATTACCTGTAGTGTATGATTGTGTGCATTGGCGGAGCGGGGGGGTGGCTTACTGGGCTTAAGCCCGGGTTGTTGTTTCAGAAGCCCAGGGTCTTTTAGAGTGTAATTTATTTCATAGTTAGATGCCTGACTGACAACTGTATAAAACAAAAACTACACACAATATTCGAAGCACATAGCGCACAGTCGTAAATTCCCCATAATTTTGGTATGATCCGAGCTCAGGCACTAGGCGACTGAGCACAGCACTTACGCATGTGAGCAAGGGGGGAGAAGCTGCTGCCTGCGAATTTGCTGTAGGAGAAGTGCAGACAGGCAGACAGAGGAGAGCTTAAGTTTGACCAGGTACCAAAGCAAATCATTCGTACTGTACAAA